TCACTAGGGGGCACTGACAAGGGGCGGAGCCTGGGGGCAACAGCCCAGGGCTGGAGCAGGGTACTCACAAGGGGGTGCTGGCGGCGGGAGATGCCTGTGGACAGGAGCCCAGGGCCAGAGCCAGGTACTCACAAGGGGGGATGCTGGTGGGGACAGGAGCCCGGGGGAGGGGGCCATAGCTGGGTACTCACTAGGGGGTGCTGGCAAGGGGCCAGAGCTCAGGGACAGGAGCCCAGGGCAGGAGCCAGGTACTCACTATGGGGCGCTGGCGGGGACAAGAGCCCGGGGGCAGGAGCCTGCAGGGCTGGAGCCAGGTACTCACAAGGGGGCGCTGGCACGGACAGGAGTCCTGGGGGCAGGGGCCGGGTACTCACTAGAGGGCACTGCGAGGGGCTGGGGCCGGATACTCACTAGCGGGTACTACGGGGGACCGGAGCACAGGGCATGGGCCGGAGCCAGGTACTCACTAGGGGACGCTGTTCGGGGGGCAGGGGCCGGAGCCGGGTACTCGCTAGGGGACGCTTTTTGGGGGGCAGAGGCTGAGCCGGGTACTCGCGAGGGGGTGCTATTCGGGGGGTCAGAGCACCGGACCAGGTACTCGCGAGGGGGCGCTGTTCGGGGGGCAGGGACCAGGTACTCGCGAGGGGGCGCTGTTCGGGGGGCAGGGGCCAGGTACTCGCGAGGGGGCCCTGTTCGGGGGGCAGGGGCCGGAGCCGGGTACTCGCGAGGGGGCGCTGTTGGGGGGGGGCCGGAGCCGGGTACTCGCGAGGGGGCGCTGTTCGGGGGGCCGGGGCCGGGTACTTGCGAGGGGGCGCTGTCTGGGGCTGGAGCACGGGGCCAGGTACTCGCTAGAGGGCGCTGTGCGGGGGTCAGGGGCCGGACCCGGGTTCTTGCTAGGGGGTGCTGCTCGAGGGTCGGGGCCGGGTACTCGCTAGGGGGCGCTGTTCGGGGGGCTGGAGCATGGGGCTGGGTACTCGCTAGGGGGCGCTGTTCGGGGGGGCCGGAGCCCGGTACTCGCGAGGGGGCGCTGTTCGGGGGGCCGGGGCCAGAGCCGGGTACTCGCGAGGGGGCGCTGTTCGGGGGCTGGGGAGCCGGGTACTCGCGAGGGGGCGCTGTTCGGGGGGCTGGAGCCGGGTACTCGCGAGGGGGCGCTGTTCGGGGGGGGCCAGAGCCGGGTACTCGCGAGGGGGCGCTGTTCGGGGGGCCTGGGCCGGAGCCGGGTACTCGCGAGGGGGCGCTGTTCGGGGGCCGGGCCCGGGGCCGGGTACTCGCGAGGGGGCGCTGTTCGGGGGCCGGGGCCGGGTACTCGCGAGGGGGCGCTGTTCGGGGGGCCGGAGCCGGGTACTCGCGAGGGGGCGCTGTTCGGGGGGCCGGAGCCGGGGCCGGGTACTCGCGAGGGGGCGCTGTTCGGGGGGCCGGGGCCGGGTACTCGCGAGGGGGCGCTGTTCGGGGGGCCGGGGCCGGGTACTCGCGAGGGGGCGCTGTTCGGGGGGGGGCCGGGCCGGGTACTCGCGAGGGGGCGCTGTTCGGGGGGCCGGGGCCGGAGCCGGGTACTCGCGAGGGGGCGCTGTTCGGGGGGCCGGGGCCGGGTACTCGCGAGGGGGCGCTGTTCGGGGGGCCGGGGCCGGGTACTCGCGAGGGGGCGCTGTTCGGGGGCCGGGGCCGGGTACTCGCGAGGGGCGCTGTTCGGGGGCAGGGGCCGGGGCCGGGTACTCGCGAGGGGGCGCTGTTCGGGGGCCGGGGCCGGGTACTCGCGAGGGGGCGCTGTTCGGGGGGCAGGGGCCGGGGCCGGGTACTCGCGAGGGGGCGCTGTTCGGGGGGCCGGAGCCGGGTACTCGCGAGGGGGCGCTGTTCGGGGGCCGGGGCCGGGTACTCGCGAGGGGGCGCTGTTCGGGGGCCGGGGCCGGAGCCGGGTACTCGCGAGGGGGCGCTGTTCGGGGGAAGGGGCCGGAGCCGGGTACTCGCGAGGGGGCGCTGTTCGGGGGAAGGGGCCGGAGCCGGGTACTCGCGAGGGGGCGCTGTTCGGGGGGCAGGGGCCGGAGCCGGGTACTCGCGAGGGGGCGCTGTTCGGGGGGCAGGGGCCGGGTACTCGCGAGGGGGCGCTGTTCGGGGGCCGGAGCCGGGTACTCGCGAGGGGGCGCTGTTCGGGGGGCCGGGGCCGGGTACTCGCGAGGGGGCGCTGTTCGGGGGGCCGGGGCCGGGTACTCGCGAGGGGGCGCTGTTCGGGGGAAGGGGCCGGAGCCGGGTACTCGCGAGGGGGCGCTGTTCGGGGGAAGGGGCCGGAGCCGGGTACTCGCGAGGGGGCGCTGTTCGGGGGAAGGGGCCGGAGCCGGGTACTCGCGAGGGGGCGCTGTTCGGGGGAAGGGGCCGGAGCCGGGTACTCGCGAGGGGGCGCTGTTCGGGGGAAGGGGCCGGAGCCGGGTACTCGCGAGGGGGCGCTGTTCGGGGGAAGGGGCCGGAGCCGGGTACTCGCGAGGGGGCGCTGTTCGGGGGAAGGGGCCGGAGCCGGGTACTCGCGAGGGGGCGCTGTTCGGGGGAAGGGGCCGGAGCCGGGTACTCGCGAGGGGGCGCTGTTCGGGGGAAGGGGCCGGAGCCGGGTACTCGCGAGGGGGCGCTGTTCGGGGGAAGGGGCCGGAGCCGGGTACTCGCGAGGGGGCGCTGTTCGGGGGAAGGGGCCGGAGCCGGGTACTCGCGAGGGGGCGCTGTTCGGGGGAAGGGGCCGGGGCCGGGTACTCGCGAGGGGGCGCTGTTCGGGGGAAGGGGCCGGGGCCGGGTACTCGCGAGGGGGCGCTGTTCGGGGGAAGGGGCCGGGGCCGGGTACTCGCGAGGGGGCGCTGTTCGGGGGAAGGGGCCGGGGCCGGGTACTCGCGAGGGGGCGCTGTTCGGGGGAAGGGGCCGGGGCCGGGTACTCGCGAGGGGGCGCTGTTCGGGGGAAGGGGCCGGGGCCGGGTACTCGCGAGGGGGCGCTGTTCGGGGGAAGGGGCCGGGGCCGGGTACTGCGAGGGGGCGCTGTTCGGGGGAAGGGGCCGGGCCGGGTACTCGCGAGGGGGCGCTGTTCGGGGGCCGGGGCCGGGCCGGGTACTCGCGAGGGGGCGCTGTTCGGGGGAAGGGGCCGGGGCCGGGTACTCGCGAGGGGGCGCTGTTCGGGGGAAGGGGCCGGGCCGGGTACTCGCGAGGGGCGCTGTTCGGGGGAAGGGGCCGGAGCCGGGTACTCGCGAGGGGGCGCTGTTCGGGGGAAGGGGCCGGGCCGGGTACTCGCGAGGGGGCGCTGTTCGGGGGGCCGGGGCCGGGGCCGGGTACTCGCGAGGGGGCGCTGTTCGGGGGGCCGGGGCCGGGGCCGGGTACTCGCGAGGGGGCGCTGTTCGGGGGGCCGGGGCCGGGGCCGGGGCCTCGCGAGGGGGCGCTGTTCGGGGGGGCCGGGGCCGGGTACTCGCGAGGGGGCGCTGTTCGGGGGGCCGGGGCCGGGTACTCGCGAGGGGGCGCTGTTCGGGGGGCCGGGGCCGGGTACTCGCGAGGGGGCGCTGTTCGGGGGGCAGGGGCCGGGCCGGGTACTCGCGAGGGGGCGCTGTTCGGGGGGGGCCGGGGCCGGGTACTCGCGAGGGGGCGCTGTTCGGGGGAAGGGGCCGGAGGGGTACTCGCGAGGGGGCGCTGTTCGGGGGAAGGGGCCGGAGCCGGGTACTCGCGAGGGGGCGCTGTTCGGGGGAAGGGGCCGGAGCCGGGTACTCGCGAGGGGGCGCTGTTCGGGGGAAGGGGCCGGAGCCGGGTACTCGCGAGGGGGCGCTGTTCGGGGGAAGGGGCCGGAGCCGGGTACTCGCGAGGGGGCGCTGTTCGGGGGAAGGGGCCGGAGCCGGGTACTCGCGAGGGGGCGCTGTTCGGGGGAAGGGGCCGGAGCCGGGTACTCGCGAGGGGGCGCTGTTCGGGGGAAGGGGCCGGAGCCGGGTACTCGCGAGGGGGCGCTGTTCGGGGGAAGGGGCCGGAGCCGGGTACTGCGAGGGGGCGCTGTGCGGGGGGCGGGGCCGGGTACTCGCGAGGGGGCGCTGTGCGGGGGGGCGGGGCGGGTACTGCGGGGGGGCTGTGGGGGGGCGGGGCCGGGTACTGCGAGGGGCGCTGTGGGGGGGCCGGGGCCGGGTACTCGCGAGGGGGCGCTGTGCGGGGGGCCGGGGCCGGGTACTCGCGAGGGGGCGCTGTTCGGGGGAGGGGCCGGGCCGGGTACTCGCGAGGGGGCGCTTCGGGGGGGGGCCGGGGCCGGGTACTCGCGAGGGGGCGCTGCGGGGGCCGGGGCCGGGTACTCGCGAGGGGGCGCTGTTCGGGGGGCGTGGGGGGCGGGGGCCGGGTACTCGCGAGGGGGCGCTGTTCGGGGGCCGGGGCCGGAGCCGGGTACTCGCGAGGGGGCGCTGTTCGGGGGGAGGGGCCGGGGCCGGGTACTCGCGAGGGGGCGCTGTTCGGGGGGCCGGGGCCGGGTACTCGCGAGGGGGCGCTGTTCGGGGGGCAGGGGCCGGGGCCGGGTACTCGCGAGGGGGCGCTGTTCGGGGGGCAGGGGCCGGGGCCGGGTACTGGCGAGGGGGCGCTGTTCGGGGGGCAGGGGCGGGGCCGGGTACTCGCGAGGGGGCGCTGTTCGGGGGGGGGGGGGGGGTACTCGCGAGGGGGCTGTTCGGGGGGGGGCCGGGGCCGGGTACTCGCGAGGGGCGCTGTTCGGGGGCGGGGCGGGGCCTCGCGAGGGGGCGTGTTCGGGGGCCGGGGCGGGGCCGCGAGGGGGCGCTGTTCGGGGGAGGGGCCGGGGCCGGTACTCGCGAGGGGGGCTGTTCGGGGGCGGGGCCGGGTACTCGCGAGGGGGCGCTGTTCGGGGGGGGGCGGGGCCTCGCGAGGGGGCGTGTTGGGGCCGGGGGGGGCTCGGAGGGGGCGTGTCGGGGGCCGGGGCCTCGCGAGGGGGCGCTGTTCGGGGGGCCGGGGCCGGGGCCTCGCGAGGGGGCGCTGTTCGGGGGCCGGAGCCGGGTACTCACTAGGGGTCGTTGGTGAAGCGGGGGCTCCGCGGGGGCTGGTAGCCGTACAGGTGACAGTAGAGCACATCGAAGCAGAAGCAGCACATCTCGGCCGACACCACCATCTTCCTGCAGCCGGGCCCGCTGGAGCCGGCCCCGGGGGAGGCGAGCAGCGAGGCGGCCGGGGGGGAGAGGCCGCCAGGGCCCCCGCCGCAGCTGGGCGGCAGCGGCGGGGACAGGACGCAACCGGCGGCGCCCCCCGCCAGCCCCCCCAGGCCGTTGAGGCGGGCGATCCCCGGCGGGGGTAGCGCCCCCGGCTCGCCGCCCGCTGCCGCCGCCCCGCCGCAGTGGGAGCTGCCGCCGCCGCCCCCCGGGCCGGCCGAGCCCGAGGGAGGGGAACTGGAGAGTTTCTGCTTCTTCACCCCGCAGCAACCCGCCGCCATCTTGGAGCCGTCTCCCCCCACGCAGCGCTTCCGACCCATAGCGGGGGGGCCGGCCGGCCGGCCGGGGGACGTGCGGCCGCCTGCTCCGCCTCCTCCCGGGCCCGCTCCGCCTGCAACGGGGAGGGGGCAGGGAAGGATGAATGGGGAGAAAGGGAGAGGGGAGTTAGAGCCGCCCCGGCGTGCCAGGCCCCGCGCCTCGCAGACAGCTTCGCCGCCCCCCCGCCCCGGCCGGCAGCTCCTCGTCCCCCCGCGCCGCCTCCCGCCGGGGAAGGGTCCTCAACCCCCCCGCGTGCCGAAGAGCCCCGGCCGGGCCCCGCGAGCCCGAGGAGGCGGCTGACAGTGTCCGACTGGCACAACGCAAATGACCTGGGTTGGCTTTCGCTTCGGAGGGGGAAAGAAGCCGCCAGGGAGGTGTGTGAGTCAGCCAGCGGGAGCACTGCAGGGAGCCCCGACTGCGCCCACAAACCAGGCAGTCCTGGGATGGCTGGCCGCGGGGACGGGGTTTAGTGAAGACTGTGCTGAGGCCAGCAGCCCAGGGGGCAAGCGGGCGTGACCCTGGTGGACTTGTCCAGTGCTTTGCCTTCTTTCAGAGGAGCTCTGTCCCCAGGGAAGCGAGGGAACATGCACGTGTTAAAACTGCACTGGCCAAAACACTAGTCTCTCAGGTGCCACAAGTACTCCTTTTCTTTTTGCGAATACAGACTAACACGGCTGCTACTCTGCAACCTGAAGAATAATAGTTTACGTGTATACTTTACATCTCAAAGGAGCATGAAACATTTTAAAAACTATATATACGAAGAGGACTGGCCTCACCCATCACTAAAATGCAGCTATCGCTGACGTGGAAACTGGCAGCTTTTTAACAGAGAGAACAGCAGTGCTACAAAACTATTTAGGCAGGGAGTTAAGAATATCATATGTAGTTGAAACAGCCGGGGAAATTTGTATAGGCAGAAAATCATTATCCAAATTAGAATGCAGCCTCAGAAAATCTCAAGGGAACTTTTAGGGCCAGGACTGGTCAGGAGCTCAGTTTTACATCTTACGCTGAAAACAGCATCACAGCAATGTCCTAGCACAGTCCTAGGCATTGATTCATTGTGGACTTAAAGGGAAGAGTACCACTTGCTAAATCTACAACTCCACTTCCTGGTGAGTTGGAGAGGCTTCCATCCAAAAAGTTGCCTAAATAGGCATGCGGCAATTCTCCAAAAAGAGCCATATTTTTGGAATTTAATGTAACCACCCTCCCACCCACATCATATATCATTTTAAAGCTTATGTTATGTACATTTAGATGAGCTCGGATGTGGAGCTGTCAAGTGGTGCCGTAAGCCTGTAGGCGAGGTGAAACAATGGTATCCAAAATGAGAAAGTGTCATTTATTGCACAGTTCCAGAAACACTGCCACATGACTCTGACTACAGTTCTTAATGTTTAAGTTAATATCAACACCTTATTGTGGTGTTTATTGGTCAAAACTACCAAATGACAGTGTAGAGTGTTATTGATTTTTGCATGAGCAAGTATTTATTTTTAGAAATGATGAAGCTGTTTAGTGTGCAACAAAAATAGCAAATATGAGCATTTTGCAATATACTAACATGAAATATTTTCACATCACATATTCTTAATTGTCGAAGTATCTCACATGTGATTATAATAGTGTTCTATATTGTCAGTAAAATTTGCTATCCAGATCAGTGTCATGTGCACCAGTAGCAGTAGATTGCCTGTCCATTGTTTATGCTGCATAGTGGATAGATGTAAATGTATGTGAATTCCTAATGTAAAGCCTCTCCATTTGTAAACTTTTGTACATACAATGTAGCATCTAGTCTGCTGGTGGAAGGTTTTAATTTAATTGCCTACGCATGCAGTACAAGCTTTTGAAATTTTCTAGAAACTAGCTTTTTAATTCAGTGACACGTATATACAGGCCACATTGCTGTTAGAGATGACAATTTCTGGAACTACATGAATACCTCCCTCTGCTTACAATAAAGAGAAAAAAAAACTTCACAAACTTTGAAAAATGTGTTATTTGTCAAGAAAATTAAAAGAATGCAAAACTGTCAAAAGTCACCAGTGCTGGACAGAAACTTCCTAAAATAGAAACATTTGCCAGAGCAATCAATCTAAGGGGGAGCAGCACTTCAAAGAAGAGATGACGTTGCATGGAATATCTGTGGAAGTCTTGATTGCTAAGGATTCAGTTTATAACTCAGCATGCCTTTCTTCCTCCTTGAGTAAAACAAATCTTAAAGCAAAACTATCTGGTTATACTGCAATAACATTGTCACCTTATGACATTGCATTTTATTAGCTGATTGAAAAGCGCGAGAATCTGATGTACAACAAGAAGGCTCTTCTCTGTTCAAGATGCTACAAAGATATAAAGCCCTACTTCCCTCAGATGTAGAAACTGCAAGCTATTCCACTAGCACATAATAGGCAAGCTTCGAAAAATGTTATGATTCTGCAAGTTCATTTCATTCACAGCATGGACAAGGCAAATCTACCATTGTTCTATGCAGCACAATAACATTATCTGATGCTATCCAAGTTGCTAGCAATCTGAAGCAGGAACTTAAGTCATCCAAGTGTTTTGTGGATGTTCTGCTGAGAGAGCCTGATGAACAGTTTTCAAATGAACAAGTGGTTTTGTATAATGTTGCTTCAGTCCTTCAGCTGAAATAGCTATTATAAAGCCTCATAATCTTATCTAAAGCTAGGTGATTGTAGTTTACAGAGGTCAGTACTTTTGTTTCCTTATTGGTGCAGGAGTTCGTATATTGGTTGATAGATAAAGCAGTATATAATTCAGCCAGCAATGAGTACCATCCTTCAGAAAACATTCAGAGAAGGTGCTCTCCGTTTCAAAGTGCATAGTATTTAACAGTTCCAAAATTATCGTACCACTGCACATAATAGCCTTGCTGCACAGCTACAGCATGAGCTTGGGTCTCACAATTTAATTGGCATCCTACATTTTCTTGGATTCTGCAACAGTTATAGTGAGCTGAGGCTGTTCATCACTAGTGCTGCAAAAACTGAATTAGCAAGTCGTGTTCATTCCAAATGGAATTGTACCGCTTCATGCTGACAGAAATCTCATTCATGAAGGAGACGATAATATAGACATCAACGTAGAGACCATTGATAGAAAGAATATGTGCCATTCAATGGCTAGAGTGGTAATTCAAGGACAGCCTGCAGATAGTTCGATGTCACAAGAAATATCACTGAAGCATGGGAAAGAAAAGTCATTTACTCTCCACAGGCAATCAGAGTCTCTTATACAGTGTGCAGCATTTGAAAAACCTAGAACACATCCAGAACTGACTCTACACGAAAAAGTACTCTAGAAAAAAAACTCTTGTCACCTACAAATGAACGCTGTCCAAGATCTCTCCTGGTGTCTTTTAAGACTACCTCATGATGTCATACCAACACCAAATGGCATTGCTATTGTTCACACTCAGGTTATTCCATTTTGGACTGGTTTCAACCACAAGCTTGAAACAAAGAAGAGCACCTACACAGGAGTTGCATATGCACCTACTGGGGATGCCAGGTTAGCTGAGATGATAATACTGTGCTGAAATGTAAGGAAATGTCAGCAAGAGGGTCGCTCTTTTCCTATCTTCTATCAAGCTATCAGCTCAGCTTTGCAATATAGTTTAGTTACCCAACACTCGAACCTAATCACTACCAATTTGGGAAGTCTGGACCATTGAATTCATCGGGCATGCCAGAGACGAGGCTGGTCCTCTGTCTCCCACTACCAGGTCTCCAGGGAAGGGTGTGAGTATGCTAGTTTAAGTAGTCTTTTAGAATAGAGATGTTACTACCAGGGGTCATAGAATTGTATTACTTCTTTGTGACTCTGTGTTTTATATTGTTTATTATTCTTTCATTCATTTTAATAAAGATCTTAACAATTTGGTATTGTCCTCAGTATAAGTGTCCTTGCTACACAACCCAAGGGTCTTCTCACAATGCTGAACTTTCTGTGTTCTCTAACCCTGGAGCCCGAATTGGGACAAGAACCTAAATATCTTCTGGTCAGATCATTGGCAAGCCATAATAAACTAGCCCATAAATTCAGATCAACACCCAAGAGGGCCTGTACCTACATCCCTCTTCTCTGCTGATGGAACAATGAGAAGAACAGACAAAACTGAATTAGGGCATCAGCTGGAAGCTAAAACTGAAAGAATCCATGAGCTAAGAGCAACCAAGAAACCACAGTGTTTATCAGAGATGCCATGGTTGTCATAGAAATAATGGCTAGAAACAAATTCCACACATTCGATGAATTGGCTGCTGAGTACTTGAGGCAGGTCCTAAAAGGATTTGACAAAGCTAATCCTGTAATTGAAGTCTTTGACATATTTGACAACAGTAACTCTGAAAACAGCAGAAAGACAGTGCCACATAGGATCTAACATTAGATGCAAGAAATACCAGGTGATTGATGGAAACCCTGTAAAAAGCTTCTAAACATGGCATCCAACAATCAGTCACTTGTAAAATTCCTCTGTTAAAATATGGTTCAAAATGCACTTGAGAGTGTACGAGAACACCCAACATAAACATTCCTTTTTGCTGGAGACTTTCCCAATGGTGAAGTGGCAAAGTCCATCACTAGTAGAGCTTTTGAAGAAGCTCAAGACTTGTACAGTACTCAAGAGGAAGTGGACAAAAGGATGCTTCTTCATCCTGTATATTCCCATGTCTTTTGGTGTCAAAGGAATCATAATAATTAGATCACCTGTTGCAGATGTTTTGGTCCTTGCTGTTCACTGCTTTCCAAAATTGGAACACACAGATAACATCTGGGTTGAAACAGGCACCATTATCAGCACAACTGACAAGCGTCACTTCATACCTGTGCATGCAATTTATGGAGCACTCACTCCTAATTTCTGCAACATACTTCCTGCTGTATGTGCATTAACAGGATGTGACTCTGTGTCATCAATATTTGGTATTAGGGAAAAAATCTATGTTTAATGTCAAAACAAAGGGAGTTTACTACTTTGGAGAGTGTGATGGACAAGTCACAATTTCTGCAGCAAGGAAGTTGGTAGCAGTTCTGTAT